CCCGTACCTTAACCAAATAATATGAAAATATCTTATGTGGGTATTCGTAAATGTTGTCAATACATTTGTTTCTTAGGAATTTCTAACTGTTATGTAAAGGCGTAAGGAATGTAGCTATTCATTAATGTTATGCAATGTTGTAAATGTTGTCAATAATATGGGTATATGATGTTAAAATAAAAAATTTAAAAAAAAAAAAGGTAAAAAATGAAAAAGAAGCTACCAGTCATCATAAGGTGGCAATGGACCGAACCAGACCCAAGACACGATAGATTTAGTATGGGTCTAAATTTTGGACCTAAAAGATCGGGTCCAGGTCCGAATCTTAAACTCGAATACTATTCATATCTGGACCGGGAGCTACCTAGACCGGACCGTTGCCACCGAATTAGACAGGGTCAAATAGATTTCAATAAACCTTCTAGGAAGACCAACCCACACAGAAGCCGAGAAAAAAAGGTTGATGTTCTCTCCTTTTTTTTTTAATGTATTGTTCTAACTTCTATCTTGGTGCTTTGTTTCTTCGAAGAAATTTTTGTGAAATTGGAATCCAACACATCATGCTTTGGAACTTACGCCCCATCACAAATTCACAATATATGAATATACTAAGACCCCGAACTAAGTCAACATTCTAAGTTCTGCTACATTGTCCCTCTAGCAAAATCCAATGTAGGAGTTACTTGAGGACCCCAAAATTTGATTATGCAACCATTTTAACCCATTTACTAGCATCAATAAAAAATTTGAAAATTACTCGGTCTAAGCCATTAAAAAACTAATGCCTCAAGATTGAACAAAGACTGTCTATTTTTTGTAGAAAAAATTGAATTGGAATTGTTAGCTGGACATGGAGTTGGAAATGGTTCAATCGATCTAACTGGGCAAGTCCTGGGCGGTCAAAATAATGTCAAAAAATAAAAAATAGAAAAAATAAAATAAAATATGGCAAGTATATTTAAGTCATGAGTAAATAAAGCACATCTAAATGAAGTTGAAAAATAATTAAAAAATAAAATTTAAAAAATCAATTTATGTCCAGAAGTATTTTTTAAATCTTTGAAAAGATAAGAAAATATAAAAATAAATATTAATGGCCAAAACAATTTTCAATCTTTTTCAAAATGATAAAAACATTAAAAATACATTAAATACAAAATCCCTTATTTTTGAGATTTTATATACAATTTTTTTTTTTTTAATATACTCGGCTAGATCACCAAAACTGGCCGGTGGCTGGTTCCGATCTAACCGGGTCTTAGAATCTGAACCGCCTTATTTTTCCTACATTGGATCTAAGTGTCAACAATTATATGTGCTTTCTATATATTTTCTATTTTTTTGGGTAAATATAGATTTTCTATGTTTACCCATAAAATTATAGCAACGATGTTTATTATACCAAGAAAACGGTGACCCAAGATCAAGAAAATCGAGTCCGTTTTATTAAGAGCACGTCACGTGGGGACACCGTTATTTAGGGAACAATAGGAATACTCCAAAATCAAGAAAATTTGGAGGATCCACATGCTTAGGTCTAGGGATCATGAGCTATTGAAAATTTAAAAGTACCAAAATAAAATTATCAACACCAAAGTAAACGCAAAATTTAAAGCACCCACCGACACGGCAGGCCATGTCCTTCGCGCTTTCGTTCCACTTTGCAAATAAAAATAGTACCTGCATTTATGTGTGGGTACGGTAAGCGCAAATGAGTGCTTGATGATAGCACCTATGGAGAACACGGCTCGAACCACTGTTATCAATATCGGACCTGCTTTTGAATCGACAAGGAGATTTTTAGTTAAAATTGTTTTAATTCTAGTTGAAGTGATTGATCCGATTTTAGAAACAATTTACCCAATATTATTTATCTGGTTGAAGCAGTTAAAAATGCTACAACAATCAGCTAAAACCAATCAAACATTGGTTTTAATCAGTTTAGTTTTACCATAGCCCTAGTTTAACCATAATCTCTATTGAGCCAAGCTGACCTAGCTGAAACAAATTGCACTGATGAGGCCTTGGTCGTGTCCTGCCCAGCCTAATAGACCTATAGAAAAAAGGAAAAAAAAAAAAGATAGTCTGGCCCCCTATCAAGGCCTTGAACTAGGCCAGACATTGGGGTTTGATGGCTAGCCTTGGGCCACATTTTATGGTCCAAGCCCTAGTTTGGCTAGGGCAGGGCTACTCACCTCAGTGCTAGCCCTAACTCCGACACCTAGAACTTCTACATTTGAAACTGCATACATAAAATTTGGAGTTAAAAATAATGTAGATCTTGTGATATGTGAATACTTGCAAGATGAATAATTTAGATAATGTGTTAGAAGATACACAACTTTAAAGCTTTGTTATTATTATTTCTTTTATCTAGAATGATATAGATCTTTAGCATGATACTTTTAAAACATCCAGACAACGGTTTCCGGTTGACATAATAGCCGAAGTTTTAAGAAGTCACCATCCTACCTAGGCTTTCTCTTATTTTTTGGGATGGTATATTATAAGACGAGTTTTAATACTAGTACGTGAAATCTGACAGCTTGGAGTATGTTAGAAATTTATAAAAATTTAACTTCGAGTCTAGTCAATAAGATACCTTGAGTTGCCTAATTTCACGTTAAACATACAACAAATCGATTGCAACCTCCTTGCAAGAAGTAAGGTGCACTTCCAAAATCTAGTGGAAAAGAGTGTTTTGGAAGTTGAAAAACCTTCAAATTAATTATCTCGATCTCGAGAGATAGATATTAAGAAACATAATAATTGTGAAAATTAAAAATAGAGTATCTTATAGCAAGTTTTATGAGTCTATTTTTAAGATTTTTAAGGCTTTATAGACCTAATAGATATGTACGTTTTTAAATTTTATGTATAAGATTGAACAAAGATTTCAGACCGTTGTCTAGTTTCTAGCGTACATCTTTTGGCAAACTTTAGTAGAGGTGTGTCCTGACTTTAGCACCTTGCACAACCCTCTTGATGGTGTCTACGTGGGTTCATAGGTAAATTATGGACGCAGGAAAATCGACCTCGGTCATTCAAAAACAAGGTTAATGTGCACTATATTGTCAGCAGAAAAATTTAGTCACCATGTTGTGGTTTTTATTTTTGCTTATATCACCTCATTAACGGTAAACAAAAAAAACAAAAATACATGAAACTCTTAAATTATTTGAAGAAATAGATACGTACCTATCTTCCCCACCTAGGTACCCAAAAAAAAAAATTACTCTCTCTCTCTTCATTTCACTCTCTACTTCTAGTACTCAATCCATTTTCATCTCTAAACCTTTATAGGCATTTCCTTCCCCTACTTGTTTTGATCAACTCAATTTCTATGTCTTTCTTTGTAGTATTTTTTTAACAGATTTCCACACACTAACAGTGATTTTCCTCTCTCTCTCTCTCTCTCTCTCTAATACCTTTAATCATCTCTCTCATTGGTATGAGTGGTTTAGGGTTCCAAGTCTCTCAAACTTCCCACCCATGTTGATGTATGGCGCTCCCCGCTCTTAAAAGTCACAAAATTGGAACACTGCGTACCCCACCCGGACCGGACCTTCCGGTCCGATTCCCCATCTTGCTCCCTCCAAAAAATTCTATACACCTTAGAGAGAGAAACCTTCACGCCCTTTATCTCTCTATAAATACACAACAAAACCCACTCTCCCTCTCTCTCATATCAAGCATAAGTATGGCATCCCCTCTTCTCTCTTTCTCACTCCTCATCCTCCTCTCTCTCTCTACCCATGGCAACGCCCGCCTTATTCTCGAGAATTCCCAAAGTGCCCCTAACATCACCACCACCGAATTCCTTGAGGCCCACAACGGGGAGCGTGATCTCTTCAAGGATAAGGGCCTAAAACCGCTAACCTGGAGCCAAAATCTCGCCTCCGACGCCGGTAAATTCGCGAGATTTCAGCGAGATAAGCACGGCTGCGGCCTCGTGCAATCGACGGCTGAGAAATACGGAGAGAACCAGTGCTGGGGTTCTGGCCGTCCGATGAGCCCCACGGAGGCAGTGGGTTCGTGGATTAAGGAGAAGGCCTTCTACAGTTTCAAGAATAACACGTGTCAAAAGGAGCACGAGTGTGGGGTTTACACGCAGTTGATTTGGAAATCGACGGCTGAGGTTGGTTGTGGCCAAGCGTTTTGTAAGAAGGGGGCCGTGACACTCACCATTTGCTATTATTTCCCTCCTGGAAATATGCAAGGGGAGAGGCCTTTCTAGCCTCTCTCTCTCTCTCTCTCTCTCCCTTTAGAGAGAGAAAGAAAAGTTCATGTTAGAGCAATGATGCTTCTTACTTTTTTTTAAATTTCTCAGTTTCTACATTTTTCTTTCTGCCTTCTTGTTACTATCTAAACGCAAAGTTACCTTGGTTGATATCATTTCCCTTCTCTCTTAAAGGTTTGTTTGTTTATTGGTAGATAGAAGATTTGCATGATGACAAATGTATTGTCTATCAAGTTAGCCGATATAGATTGTCATAGATTTTATGTTAAAATGTGATCTCTTAACGTTTAGCCATTGCATTTGATCTCTATAATATATCATCCATTTAAATTTCTATGTCTCATCTAAATATTGTGGGCTGGAAGGGTTAGCCAGCAGCCACATTTGATGAATAGGGGGGAGAGAGAGATTCAAAATAGAACGGATTTCTATAAGTCCAGCCGACTCATATGTACACATGAGGCGCCCCTCTGAAATCTATTTTAAAGATTTATTTTTTATTTTTTATTTTTTTTTAGCTTCTTCATCTAGCCAAGTTGATCATGAATATGAAAAGAAAATTACATTTTTAGAATTAAAAATGCAATTTTTTTATATTTTTTGGTGCACCATTTATATGGAATGTACGACTCGATAGTTCTACTCTCGATATCAGTATTTCGAATCCTAGAGATACCAATCAGGTATAAGTGGATCTAGGAATAGGCCCATTCTAAATTGGTTTCTCGAAGGAATTGGTAACAGCCTGGTCCCACCCTAAAAGTACCCCTTTTATAATTTTTTCTTTCTTTTTTTTCTTAATTTATTTATTGATTCTTTATGTCCACCCGTAAGCTCCTTTAGACTTTTTATTGTTTTAAATTTTTTTCCGATCACCGATTTAGGCCTATCCAAATCAACAATCCAACACAGATTTGGTTCTAAAACACCAGCCAACATATACGAACAAAATACACATACATTTATGGAAAAAACAAGAAGGAAAAGTAAACAAGATTATTCACAAAAAAAAACAAAAAAACATACAAATCAAGAAACATAATCAAGAGTGGGTGAGAAGGACTATGAGACAAGAAAAGGGGTCTAATCTCACAATAATCTGTCTGCTCTTCGCTGTGGTTCTCATGCCCCATTTTTACTAAGGGGGTGATTGGAAATTAGCGATTTTGGCATCTATGAGCTAAAATTTTTAAATGAAGTAATTCTTAGTTTGGCAACCAAAAATGCTATAGGAAAATAAATCATGTATCCCTCAAAAATAAGTAATATGGTTTTCCACCCCCTTCTCCCCAATGAAAATTTAGATTTCTCAAAAATAAGAAATGCATCGGATTTGACCATTTGATCCACTCGATTATCAAGTCTATTTACAAGTAATAGAAAATAATTGACATCGTCACCATCAAAACCTTTTTCCAACTAATTGGAGTCGGATAGTACAAAATAATTGACATATTTTAATGAAATACAAAGTGAGTTTTGGCCATAAAAAATGCATATAAGAATTATGGTTGAAAATTTAAATCCTAACCCTCTCCTTTGATCGGTAATGTAACATTTTGAGGATTCCAAGCCACCTCAAGTGCAAATATTTTGGGCTGGATATTTACAAAAACCATACATTTGTATAATTCTTGCATGTCTAGATCCTTCAGGCTCCAATCTCCCTAAAGCTCTGGCTCAGGCCTATCTTAGACTTGTGTTATCTCAGTTTGGGTGATGGAGGTCAAGGGTTCGAACACTTGGTTGCTAGTTCAATTTCACCAACGCATTGATTTTCTATTTTCTTTTTTGTCCTTTGCACGCCATTCATACTTTTGTGTTGAATCAATAATAGAAAGAAATGGGCAAATGCAAGGTAAATTTATTACAATACCCATAAGAATTGAAGAATTTAACATATGAGATTGTCCACAAAGAGACCATTTATCTTTTGTACATGATCACAACGTCTTACATATGTTACCTCATTATTTTACAATACACAAGATAAAATTAGCAGGAAAAGATTATGGTGTGGTCTATATAAAGTTGCAACCTTATTTCTAGAAATAAAGTTGCAATAATGTGCACGGTCAATTTTATTTAGACTTTTGAATGTGGAGGTCACAGCTTGTACATATGCTACCTCTTTATTTTACAATACCCAAGATAAAATTAGGAAGAAAAGATTACGGTGTGGTCTATATAAGGTTGCAACCTTATTTGTAGAAATTAAGTTGCGATACTCTGCACCGTCAATTTTATTTGACATTGTAGATGAAACACATATTTTAAGACAATGTCAATGCATAGCACGTCTTTAAAATAGTGTCCAATCGATACTGTCCAAGTAAAATGGATGGTGGAGATTAGTGCAACCTTATTTCTACAAATAAGGTTGCATTTACAATGTGTGTGTCCAATCTACAAAGTCCAAATAAAATTGACGGTATAGATTTTTGCAACTTTATTTCTACAAATAAGAAATAAGGTTGTAACCTTATATAAAGGTTTTCTAATAGATTAATCTATGAAGTAGGCTTCATCTCCTCTTTAATGGCAAATGCGAGTTGGGTATAAGCTTCGGCCCATGCGTCCTTCATCTCAACCGTCCACATGGTGGGAATTGCTTCCTTAATCGTCTCCAAAAGAGCGAATTTTCCTACCTGGTATCATCCAATTCAAAATCCATCAAGGTTTGAAATAGATAAAAGTAGATCACCTAAATAACCTGCACAATCTATATGTCTCCACAAATTTATGATTTATGTGTTTGGACATTTACAACATGAAGTAAACAAAAAACAATGAAACAAGCATGAAGTAAACCAAAAACAATGAAACAAGCATGAAGTAAACCAAAAACAATGAAACAGCATGAAGCAAACCAAAAACAATGAAACAGCATGAAGTAAACCAAAAACAATGAAACAAGCAAGCAGTGTTACTTTCTTGGGCCATATAGCATATGGCCTCCACCCACATATATCGATATGTGTAATGGGAGATCTTTCTACATGGGCCTCCACCCACATATATTGATATGTGTTATGTACAACCATCCAATTGTGATTGAAAGGCTAAAAGTGAATCTTAAATAATGTAAGAAGCTAATGCCAGGTATGTTTGCTAGCCCACAAGTGATGGGGGACATTATGGAAGACCTTTATCTGTTTTTCTTGCCACATATAATTTATGTATCAGGATATCCGTAATAATTTATTTTGATCAAACGACTAGAAGTCTAGTGCCAACTCTATTTGTCAAGCCATAAGTAATGTGGGACTGTTGTCAGTCTGCTCGCAGTTATTTCATCAAGATCAGATAACTATATATCAATAGATACATATAAATTATGCATGTAGAGACACATAGAAATATTACTTCTGAATCGAGTGCTTTTCCAAAACAAATAACACTGTCATATGAAGGCTTGTTTGGTATTTTATTTCTTTCATGAACCACTGCTGTAATTCAAAATTCCCTACCGCATCCTTAGAATAATGAGTACAAAATAGAAAAGAAAAGAAAATTAAAGGGAGAGGACTGGGCTTTAAATTTTGGGACGGTATAGTTTGATCGAAGGTCCAAAACATAGTTATTTACCGTTATAATAATGGGTGCATTTAGCATAAGGCTTAGGCTTGACATTTTAAAATATAAAACCACACCTCAAACCCCTTTTAGATAGTTTTGCATCGGAACAATTATGATCTAAAAATCTATTTCTATTTCTCGATATAAAATTTGAAGCTAAAAAAATGATACAAATCTATCACATCTATATACACGTCAAAATGAATGGTCCAAATAATATTTTACAAACTATTTTTAGCTCTTGAAATCCTTTTTTTCTCAAATACAAAATTATCAGGGTGGAGATAATATATTCGAAGATTTTCATCACCAGAGTTGCATTTTCTAGTGGGATTTTCAGATGCAGCATTTTATAGTAAAGTCTAGACCATATGTAAACTGTTTGTTATTATAATTCCATAGCTATAATAATGGCATTTTTCTCAAAACAAGGCAAAGATTAGAATTGCCTAGGGCACTCATGTTATCATTGTGATGATAAAAATGACAACAAAGTTGCCTTCAACCTTCCTATGATCCTCATGACTAAATGAGATCAAAGGTGATGAGGATAATCGCCACCAATACAGTGTTGTTAAATCGCCTTAGAGACTCATTCGGTTTGGGCGAGGATGAAAAATGCTTTGACATCTCTGGAAAAGTGTTCATGTGTCTTTTAAAATTAAAAAGTTTAAACATTGAGAAAATAAAATTGTACCCTGTAATTGACTGAAGTGGGCCAAAGTGTCCCAAAGCACGACGTTCTTCGAATGGAAGATCGCTTCGCTTTGGTTTGGTAGCGAAAGAGGCTAGGCCTCTTAGCATCGGTCCAATCAAGGGGTTAGACAGTGATAGAGCAAGCATGGGGAATACCATTGAAGTCCCGCCTCACTCTTGCTCTATCACCATGAAATCTATTGATTGGATGGTGATGAAGATTGTTGGTATGCATTTCCTTAAATGGTCATGATCCTTACATCGAAATGTTCGTCGACAATGCCATATTTGAAGTGGGTGAATCCGAGGTCCTTGAGATTCGACTCCCTCACTGTTACTTTCCCACTCTTCCTTAGTTGCACAGCACATTCACATGTCTGCAAAATTCAAAACAAGAAATAATACTAAGAAATGACAAGAGAGAATGAAGGATCGTTAGATAATATAAAAGTTTATTAAGAGCAAGCATATCATTTTGATGTTAATCTTGCTGTGCGCTTTGGCTGTCCTCTGTTGTTCTTTCCCTCTCACTCTCATATAGTTTTTAGTTGTGTTTTATAAGAAGAAACAACTTAAGTTTGAGGGACATAATAAAAGAATTGGGCGAAATTTACCATGGCAAAGACGGATAGAGCATGACTTCGAAGTTTGGGATTCTGTTGCAGTGGCACATCCGAGTCTCGCAAGAAAGAGAAGAGACGCTTTGTAGAAGGCGCGATCTCAAATATCCTAATAATTTTTGGAAAAAGAATCCAAGGTGAACTAATTGCTCACTAAAGTTTAAGCTAAATCAAGATAGCGTTAAATTACTGGGCTACGACAATATCTATCAGTTGGGCTTTTTATGTCTTCCTGCACAAGTAATTTACGTGTCTAGATACTTTCAAATGGATCTTGAGTGAGCCGACAACAATATCATCCATTAATTATTGCCTAACAAATATAGACAATGCTAACTATACTCATAAGATATATAGTAGAATATGTGTGGAGCATTGAAGGAAAAATCGGGCGGTCTAATCAGTAGCCACCTTATTAGATCAGAACCTGCCACTGGCGGTTTTGGTATTGGCTGGTTTTGGTGAACGACAAGGTATTTTTAAAAAAAAAATTAAAAATTATTTGAAATATCAAAAATAAGGAATTTTGTTTATAATGAAAATTTTAATGTTTTTCATCATTATGACAAAAATTGAAAATTGTTTTGGCCATTAATACTTATTTTTACATTTTTCATTTTTTTTAAAAAAATTCAAATATACTCTTGGGCACAAATCAATTATTAAAAATCCATTTTTTTCATTAATTTTCAAGTTCATTTGGATAATGTGCTTTGTTTAATCATTCTTGTTATATTTTATTAGATTGTTTTATTTTTTATTTTTTTAATACTTTTTTAACCGCCCGGGACTTGCCTGGTTAGGAATCATTTGAACCGGCCGGTTTACCGATTAGGCCGGTTGAAACACTTCCAAGCCCATGTCCAGTTAACCATTGCGATTCGATTTTTCCTGCACTGGTGTGGAGACACATGGAACGATTTTTTTTTGTACTATATCCAATATGTTAAGAATTCTTCCATGATGCTCAAATTTTCTAGGAATTAAATATGGAAGTTCCAATTTCTAATAAACCTACGATGTCTAAGGGAACACTGATACATGTAACAAATGTAATTTAGAAAAAGTGTGAATGGTTATGGTCAATTTCTCCTATATTATGAAGATTAAGCCTTTTTTTGGTTAGGAAGGCCACACTAGTGGTTTATGGTATATGGAAAAGCATGGGAGCATCCACCATCCATTCTTGATGACAAATGATGATTAATAGAACATTCCATTGATGAAATGTAGCAGCGATAGGATTAGCTTCCACCATGTGTTATGAAGAACAAAGGATGGATAATCTTGTGGTGTATAATATATGAGGAGTAGAGGCTGGATCCTTTTGGTGTACCATATATCATACACCAATAGTCTATGTTATACTTTATTTTTGTTATGATAAAAGTTTGTTTAAGGTGGGAACCTTCCCATAGAAGTACGGTCGCGATGATTTAAGAGGGTGTAGATACAATTTAATCTTAAAATACTTGCAAAATTTCGATATTGATTTAAAAAAACATGTCAAATCTATTCATCAAACTAAAATAGATGGTGTAAAACGTTACGATCTTACCTCTACCAAAAATAAAAAATAAAAAAATTGGGACCTTATATAAACCGGTTGATCAAACAATTCAACTCACTTCTCAAAGAACTTTAGTCCTAACTCGGCCGCATCTTTCTTCATAACCTTCCATGACTCGACCACCAAGGCTTCTTGCTCTTCTGAGAAGGCTCTTATTACCCCGATGCTCTTTCCTTTGCTCTTTATTCCTACAAAACAAAGAGTCCAATTTTTTAAATACCAAAAAATATATCAATTATAGAAAAAGATCTCACAGGAGTAAAATTTACACAAATCAAAATCAGTGGTTTAAAACAAGGACTCGGGTCAGGACTAGCTAAGGTCTCAAGCCTAAGCAAGGTCTGATAGACTTGGTTGAGTCCGTCTGAGATTTGGCCCAATCCTAACGATCGATAGCTTTCCGAGTCTGAGTATCTTGGGCAAGTTCAAGTTGGACACACCAACTTTTGATTTAAAAGGCAGATTGACAAATAATGGGGAATTACATTTCTATTCTATTTTATTACCCTGCATGGATCCAGCTGGTTTTGAGACTATTGCTTGTCCAAATCCATCCATCTTTGCCCAAGAAAGCCTTGAATTGAAGGGATTAGACGTTTGATACTTATTTTTACATGCCCATTGCTTGGATATAGTTCCCATCTCTGCCACTGCTCCATTTCCTGAAATTTTCAGCAGCAATATCTCAGAAAGCAAATCCAGAAAAACAAGCTGAAAATGACACCTTCACTACATTTATTAACAAGGGGAAAAAAAAAGTCATTTTCTATAAGAGAGAGAGAGAGAGAGAGAGAGACTAACTCATGGAGATGAGTTTTGCAGAGGTTGAAGGGCTGCTGCTCAAGAGCTCCATTCTTCCTATTATGAGATCTATGCAGACAACAACATGGGTTACCTCTTATTTGCCATACTCCCTCTTTAAAAAAACGAAAAAAAAAAAATCCCATAGATTCTGTGCTCCTAAAGGAGCATAATATCAATGTACTCCCTCAGGCAAAAGTAAAACCCCTCTAGGAGTGATCCTAGGAACCCAGAATTGAGGATTTAGCCTTTTCAACCTGGCAACTAACTTCAAAAGAGAATAAGAGAAAAAAAAAAAGGAACTAAAATTGCACTGCATGAAAGTGATGTCCTAGGGTTGAAAAAGGACTATCCAATTGGAGGGTGAGATCCAGATGTTCAAGAACTCGAAATTCAAAATTATATTTTGAAAATAATTATCTATCATTATCCCAAAATAACAAATGGAAAGATCCTTTCGATTTGTTATTTCACCCCATGGAGAAAGTACAAAACCTGCTCCCGCGGGAGCAGAGTATACATGATAAAGAAACTTTGTTTTATTCAATTCATCCATCTTTGTTACTAATTATCGTTACTTTGGAGGCGTTATTTGAATGTTACTTTGGCGTCATATGAGAGGAAGTATCGCCTTTTGGTGAAGGTAAGAGCCAAGCCAGCACCTAGAAAATAGAGGAATGTCCAAAACCATGGGCGAAGTTGACATTATTATATTTGCAAAATATGCATTAAATTGGTGTAAATGCCATATAAATATATTAACATATATATCTTTGACAAGTAATGTAAACTTTCCCTCTAAACTATTTGTAGTTGTAATAAGATATTTGTGTACATGGATTTAAAAATAAATCTCTTAGGTGGATGTCATAAAGTACTATATAAGAAAAAGAATTTGTAATTAAATTAGTGGGCCTGTGTCATACTAAGGTTCATCTCGCATTGCACAAAGTTTCGTAATCTCTTTTACGTTTTCGAATGATCCAACCAAATAAAAACTATACTCTTAGTTAATTTTCTTTCTTTTGGTAGTTTACTGGTATCAGCCTACCCGTAGCCATTTTTCCTTACAGACATTTCTCGAGTATTTAACCGAATAAACTTTGTACACTTAGTCCTTCCAACTAGTGATCAAGAAATCACTGAGCCAACTTGGAATCATCCAGGGGATCTTGATTATTGATGGTCCTGAGCAAAGTAATTGCTCTGGTTTGTCCAGAAGCATGTGATTCATTTTGGTGAACTGTTTATATCTTGAATACTATGGTGTAACCAAATATCTATCATATGTTGACCCCAGGCCCCTCTACCCTATTTGGCAAAGTCAGAGGGACACCTTGGTGGGCTCTAGGGGCTAGAGCCTTTAACTTGTAAATCATGAGGGTCTCTAAGGAGACAATTTACTTTTGGTGCGAGGTCACAATCGCTGTTGTATTTAAAATTTCAAAATGAGTAGTTTTATAAGTGTTATTAGACATACACAAGTTTCAAAAAAAAAATCTCGGGCGTTGTGACTCACCCCAAGCTATCCAATTTGACATCTAATGAGTGAGAATAGTTGTAATATGACTTCCTTGTAATAAAAATAAATGGTCTCTTTATAGACAATTACTTTTCAGTAATTATATACATTTCTTTTAGGGTTGTGTTAAGTTAGGTTTTAAGGCAATCCATGAGTGTTTTGGTTCTAAAACTCGCGTAACAACCATTTTGTACCTTTGGAGCTACGATAGTAAATCGAAGAGTCGTCTTCGTTTTTAGACATAGTCACATTAATGATGAACTACGTAATCTTAACATTTCTTTGAGCTATTCATGTTTGTTATATTTGCTTTTTCATTTGTTGATCTTGTTTGTCTTTGTTTTCTCTTGTTTTTCATGTTTAATCGATCTCGTATGCTAGGGCCTTGGACAGCATAATTGCCCATATTATTGTAGGATTTGAGCGATTCTTGCCTTGTGAGTTACTTCTCTTCGTCTTTTTTGTTTCATGAATTACACTGACTGCATCTCTCTTAAAATCAGCTGATGACATAAATTGAAACCAAACTTAAGCGATTTTTATTCCTTTCTTTAATAACAATAGTTAGAAAGTCGACTTGACAAAAGTATTCAGGCCTTGGCCAAGGCATGTTGAGCCTAAGTAAATCACCCAAGTAGAGCTCAATTTTAAAAAAATAAATAAATAAACCCATAAAAAAGATATATATATATATATATATATATATATATGGTATATGGGTTAAGCTGCCTGAGTAACTGGGCGAAGCCTAGTTTGTCGTTTAATAAATTGCACCATGCCTATATTTAGTTTTTTGTCCCACATGCTAATTTTATTACATCCAGATGTTCGTCTCCAATGAGATAGTAAACAAAACCAAGATTTCTAACCTGGGTTTGTAGACAACTTTGATCATCACCACTTAATTCCAAATAATTTTGGGCCGCGTCATTTGTCAGCATCAATTAATTTTAGTTTATTTTGAATTTAATTTCAGAGAACGGAAGGACAGCGGGGGAGCACATTCTTAACATTACCCCCTCGTGCAAATGACTTTCTTCTTTTGAACTAAAATTTTAGGATTCATTGTAACATTACCAGATGAGCATTTTAAAGAAAAACAAATTGGATTTTGAGTTTGAAACACTCAAAATCCGACCGACTGAAAGTGCTCCGTTGAATATTACGATGTTATTATCTTGAGTTACATATAAGTTGTATATAGATTCAGGAATTTACAGGAAAGCCTTGTTTTATTGTTGAAATTTAAAAACTATCATATATTTCATATTTTACATTTCAAGTCTCACGGTATAAAATGTATTGTAAGTTTTATCTCCTTTTATATACATTGGTTTAAGCTCAAATTTGGTATGTTCTTATTTTTCACCTACACACATCCATAAAAACTATAAAAAAAAGTTAAAAATAATAAATAAGCAAATTACCCTACAATAATAAAGGATATTTTGATAATTTTATTTATTTTAGATTCTATTTTTAGTATTTTTTATAGATGCGATAGTGAGAAACAACATACTAAATTTGAACTCATTTCAATGCAATTAAATAAATAAACTAAAATCAATATCATCATTCGAATCTTATCCCAACTATTTGGTATCACAAATCGTGTGGCCACATTTTCTACGCTGGCTACCAACCTAAAACAACACTCTTCCTTTCTTTTTTTTTAACATGGATTAGGAGATTACACCAATCAAAAATCAAACACAAAGCCTCAGATTCAACCATCCTTTCCAAAGAAACTCATCTCTTGGCTAAACTATAAGCAATCTTGTCGGCTAGACATGAAGAAAACTTCCTACTGTAAACAGATATCCAAAATCTCCATCCACTTGGATCTTAGGCTCCATTGTGGTCTAGATACCTTGTTGCACCAATTTATAACATTTAAAAAATCCCTTTCAGCATGGTCCACAACACTAGACGAGGGCCTTGTAAAAGCACTTTTAAGTTCAGCAAAATTTGCAGAGGCCACCACGTTGGGTCAGCATTGCAGAAAATGGCCTGCCCATATGAATCCCTCAACATCCCATCAAAGGTAGCTGTCAAAATTTAGCTTCACGCACCCAATCACTCCCTTTCGGTCCAACTTTTATAACTCTCTGCCTAAACAAATTGGAGAGATTCACGGTTACGTCAACTTTGGAAACACCAAAGCCCAGCCCTCTGAACCAACTCAAAATTTTTCTTTTAACCAATTCCCCATCCATTGAAGCCCCTTCCAAAACTCGCTCTTTTATTCCTTTCCAGCCGTACCTCCCATCCCAAACCAAAGAAGTGCATTTGAGATTTGCCGTATCACCTTTCCAACCTTGTCCAAACTGGTAACACTCGTCTGCTCCAAAGGTTTCCATATGGCTTCAAGGCAATCCCAATCAACCAAAAAAGCCAGAACCAAATCCTATACGAAAAATGGCAATAAAGAAGAGATTATCCCCATTATCATCACTCTCCTTGCACAAGATACAAACACTAGCCATAATTCTACCCCTCTTCGTGACGTTATCCACTATCAAAGTTTTACATTGCCCCAAGATCCACAAAAAAGCTTTAATCTTGAGAGGTATTGGCCAACTCCAAATCTCATTCAAGGATGGACAACGCCATCTCATCCTATCATGAAAGACAAAATTATAAGCAGATTTAGTATTAAGCACCCCATAATTTTCGACCAGCCACACCAATTCATCTTCCACCATATTTCAAAAGAAACCCCCTCCAACACCCTGTTACACAAACAATTTATATTCCAAGCCAAACTGACCTTGTTCATAGGCTATGAAGCAAATAGCAAACAATTCAAGATATCGGATTTGGAAAGAATCATGTCCCACCCTCCTCCTTTCTCCCAGTTTGTAACCAACACGGCTCGGGACCAGCCATGGCAAAATTTAGAAATACATATATATACTTTGAAAAAGTAGGACCTAAACATACAACACGAAATATATAAAGACTGCTTTTGAATTCCAAAAATGAAACAGGATTTTCTATAAATCTCCCTTACTTATTTATTGATGTTGCTCTCCCAATTGAGGTTTTCAGGAAAAAAAAAAAAGGAAGAAAAACTCTCTCTTCTCCCAAAGATGCAAGTGCATAGTGTGCTCCTGAGAAAACACTATAGTTGGTCACGAATAAAACTACTTAAATTATCTTAGGGGAGATGCTATGACTCTTTGTGCTCTCTGTAAGTGGCCCTTCATTCCTATGCGCCAGTAGTTATGCGAGCTCTTGTATTTCCCCATGATTTTGCAAACAAAGATTTCAAGCTGTTAAACAATTAGCAACACAAAAAAATTCACGAAATGTAGCCATCCAGAGAGAGAGAAGAAAAACAAATCAAAATACAGGCCATGAATGAAATGGTAGAGAGAGAGAGAGACCAAAATGCAGGCCAAATGATATGGTGACAGAGAGACCTAAATGCAGGCCATGAATGAAATGGAGAGAGAGAAGAAAAAACCAAAATGCAGGCCATGAATGAAATGAAAATTACAAAGGTCACACTCACTATGTATCCCATGGACTGAAAACATCCACTTCAAGGTTCAAACAGATAGCTCAAACATCACCACCATCATCAACCCAACATCCCCAAGAAACCACAACATTTATCCAAACCCATAACTTATATCGGGGGCCCTAACCATCAACTCAAAAGGAACCTCCACTCTCTCTTTTACAAGGCATCTCTCCACACCATTTTCTCTCACTAAAACCTTTCCGGGAGGGCACCGAACCTCTGATCCTTTATCCTCTGCTGGTTTCAGAGGGAACTTGAGGGCCTTAACTGAAAACCCCCTTCTTCTGAGCCTTGGCTCAAAACCAGCTAAACTCAACACCGATACCACACTAGCAACTGCAATAGCAGTTTTAGCAACAAGACTCAATACCATTTTTAATCCATTTTGTGGTTTTTTCTCACTGGAATGATGGTCTTTCAACTGAGTTGATTTTCTCTTAGTTTCAGAGGTGTTCTTCCGTTTGGTATAGAGGCTCTGATTACTAGCAATGTTATTGTGAGGAGATTTACTGTGTAGAGATGGGGGTTTTGAAAGGTAGGTTTCTTCAAGTGTTGAGGAGTCAGGCAAGCGGCTAGGATAAGGAGGGAGAAGAAGATCGTCACCTTGTTCTCCGGTCTCACCAGCAAAGGCTGAGGCCTCATGTATCACTTCAAAGTCTTGGCCTTTGTAATCCTTCAGTTTCTTTAACAAAACTCTTCTGCATTGATCGATCTCGGCAAGGGTCGCTTCTCTCTCTAGCCTCTGTTGATGCTGCAGAGCCTGTCCAGAGGGAACAGAGAGATTCAATCCTCAATTGTTTAACTTAGATGACATTCCAAGCAGTCAAAGTTCAGCAGTTATATCCAAATGATGTTCCAAGCAATCATTTGTATCTTGTAGAAATAGCATGGCCCTCGAGTGCCAGTCAAACTATTTTTAGGATGGGGCATGGATACATTCTATGAATGATCTGGAGGTGCCATAGCCTATACATAGTTCACCTATAACCTTTCTTTCATCTAAAGGTTACTGATTAAGCCTATATAAAGCTAGAAATCAGGCTTCATGTGTATCTCAAGATTCTCAACTGAAAACACCAAAACAGAAAGGTGAACCAATATGACAAATCTCATTTTTTACCGTCAATACTTAGTGAGATTCCCCTGTGCATGGAATCTTCAATCAAGAGCACTGAGACTGAATTGTCCTGCTCTAGCACATAACTTTTCTTTGATTAACTAAAAAATAGTATGCAGAGAGAGGGTAACTGCAGCACATGCAAAATCGTGAAAAGTTTTCACATGTTGAAGTTTTTCAGGCCTTGGAAATTGCAACCTTCTTGAATCATCCATAGGAACAAATGCAAATACAGTTTGCACCAACAACCATGTAACATACAATATGCAGCACAACAGATTTTCTCAGGAATCAATTAATTGAATGATTATAAACACATTTCCTCAAAAACAGCTTAAGACACGTGAAAGGAGAGTACCACATTAACATTTTTCTAGACATAGTGGAAGCCGTACACAAATGAGTATCATATGAGGTTCATAATGGCAAAAGAAAAAGCAGCTACCTTCTAAAATAGTGGAATAAGAGCAAAGTACGGCAACAAATAACTCATATATGTAATAGCAGATCTCCACAAGAAGTGAAGAAGATAACAGTTAAACACAGATATCCAAGGCCAGTAGCAAAAGAAGTTAATAGAGATGCATCACTTTAGGACACAGTGATCCCATAGTAAGTCCAGTCAAAGGCAATCCAACATTTGGTATGACCACTCCATGCAAGATATGTCTAAAGCACAACAATTTCAATTAGAATACAAGCCTTTGAAATTCAAATTGATGTACACTTGCAATTCCACCTTTGCTCATTTCCCAAGGAACCCAATAAGAAAACTTTCCCTCATCCATACGATTGCTTGGGGAAAACACTTTTTATCCCTTAAACTCCAACATAGCTGAAGCCCAATGACGGTTGATTTGAGTGTCCAGGATCATCTCATGCAAGTCATGGGTATCATAAAAATAAAAAATAAAAGATAAATTAAGGGAAAAATAAGGGAAAAGTTACAAGTTTATCTACCAGTGGAAACCCTACTGTTGTCACATTTTTCTGAAGATCCAGGCATTTTTATGAAGATCCAAGCATGTTTTACCATTAACACTTGCTCAAAAAAAAAAAGATCCAGACAGGTTTAAGACAAGAAGGAAAAGGAATGAGTACAGAAGATAACATCATATGGGCATTGGCATAACCATACAGGCAATAAGAGTGTAACAATAGATACAAAAAAGGTCAGTGGCATGGAACCAAAGGGCACATGGAAGAGTAGAACGTTACATGGCATATGGGTTTGAAAATTTGAATTGCATTTTGCAAAAAGCATATGTTAAGTGAGTTTCTTGCAATATCTATAGTCTCTCTGAGATACTTACCTATATGATACTAGGACAAAAAAGTACAGGTACAGGTAGAAAAAGTTGCAGTTAATATGAAAGAATGCATGAATGACCAAATGGAGATAAAAAATGATCAAGGAAGAAGTAAAGATAACTAACTAAAGAGAACGTGAATATTAAGATAATAAGGCCAATATTCTTTTTCTAAAGTTGCATGACACAAAAATTTAGCTGAAGAATGAAGTCATGTCTGTATGAACTAAACATGTCAATACAAAATACAAAGTCTACTAGAGGTAGGAGATTTCCCGCCCAAATTTATCACACAGTATTCCTTATTGACATGAAACTGGACATTGTTGATTGATATGAGCACAACATGATCATCTCCAAAACAATATACCATGAAGCTGCATTTATGCCAGAAGCATACTACTATAAACTTTTTGGCATCATTTAGCTAAGCCATTTCATCAAGGAGCAAAGGGATATGACCCGGATGTAAAATACATGAGTGGATAAAAAATGGATAAAAAATTTAAAGTCACGACTATTTGTCTACACCCATGAAAGCAAAAATGACAAGCATGACTGATTCAGAGTTGAAATTAAAGCCTCAAGGTAAGCATAAGATGTATGCCTTAGTGGCGAATTTTTACTGTTTAATATTTACATTAACAAACCACAGGGAAAGGAAAATATGGAAAATTATGAATAAAAAATATAGAATAAATAAGAAAGAAGTTTGCAATTTTGGACTAACAAAGTATATGCGAGTGAGAATAATGAGCATTTCCTGGAAATAACAATGAGCATTTCCTGCACATACCTGTACCTCATTACTATACATTAAAACACAATATAACCAAGAAAAACTCAAAAAAATCCAAAAAAAAATCTAAAAGAAACTCAGTATGAGCCTCCCTCCCTCTCTAAAGCATTTGCATCATATTAAGCACAAGAAAATCTTTTAATTTGACGACTATTCTTCAACCCGACGCTTTCAGCAAAAATAAATAAATAAATAATCAGTTGTTTGCATTTTTATTGTGCCAAACCTCCTTCATATCAGTCTCTTGCTTCTAAAGAGTTTCTAAAGTAAAACCCCAAACTCAGAGGATGGTAAAATGCAGCAATGAAGAGACCTTATCCCCTGTTGAAACCCTAAACAATCATCACCATAGAAAAAAATGAATAAGCATTTAATTCTGATATCGAAATAACAGAACAAAGAACCAACCTGTAGGCATGAGAGCTGCTCCTCGAGTGATTCTAGGGCACTTCGAATGTTCAAAAGGCTCTCGGCTTCGGCATGAGCTTCATTGTCGTTCTGTAGCCTTAATTCACCAGTTCTTGAAGAAACAGACTCTTCATCCGCATCTTCCTCCTTTCCTCCTTCAACATCGCTATCTTCTTCTTCCTCCATGAATGTACTTTCCTGCTTAGTTGCTCTGTGAATGCAGTTGTTGATCTTCGATTGAAGCTCCGAAACCCTCGACAGAACAAAGCCTATCTGATCAGCTTCCATGGCCGAAAAAAGAAAACTAGGGTTTTGATCGAAGGAAATAAGGGTTTCGTTTGCTAGGGTTTCGATTCAAGGAGTGTTTCGTTTACGTACGCCATGACCAAACCCTTGGAGGTGTTAATGCAACAGAGGAAAAAGACCAAAATTTGGACACTTGTAAGCGGTGGAGAGGAGTGTTCACATATCTTGAACAAAATTGACGAGAATACCCTTAGTTTGAGCAATTTCTATAAATATCACACGGAAAGCATAAAAATAATTTTTTTAAAAAAAATTAATTAGATGTCAATCTTATATGAAATTTTTTTTTTTTTATCCTTTGTAATCATTTCGAGATCGAGAATTTTCCAAGGAATACTCTATCTTAGAGGAATTTTGAGGTTCACCTTACTTCAGTGTTACGTAGTCACCTTATATAAATTTTTTTTTTTAAGAGATATATGTATGAACCGGAAAAAAGAGGGTTTATATTTCGAGCTATATTGTAAGGGTGAGGTTGTGTCTACTTTATACTATTAAAATAATGCACAGCTCAAAATTGTCCCAAAAGTTGCATTTGGAGTACCTATTGCTCCTCTTGAACCATGATCCAATGCAACGGCTGTATTGTAGTATAATGCGACGACACTTCTAAAAAATCATATTTGTAGTGTTTGTATGATTTTAAATTTTGCACATATACTCTCTTCATCTCAATAATCAATCCTCCGAAAAAAAAAAAGGTTCAATTTGAATCCTAGATATGATCAAAATGAGTCTCCTTCAAAAACGAATCTAAACCTTTAATTTTGTGAATTTCAAGATATTAGCTTTTATAAACTCAAAATTATTTTTTCTTTTTTAACATTGTTCATCTAATGATAATAAAGCCATCCAAAAAAATTGAAAATGAAATAATCGTTCTAAGGTCTAGATCTAAGGATCTCACCAAAATAAATAGCCTATGTTAATTGGGTTAAAAAAATAATTTCTAAGTTATGTTTTCAATTTTTTATTTTTTTGTGATTGTTCGTTGGAATGAAAGGCGTGTATATTTCAAATTTTGGATCAAACAAATAGTCATAAGATGATTTTTAAAAATTGTTGCATCATATTACTATACAACGGTAGCATGAAATCATTACCCCCTCTTCCATATATGAGCAAGCTAGTGACTAGATGGCGATCAAGAAATTCATCTTAGTTTGAAAGTTTGGTTGAGATGAAAAGTAATGAGAAATAAGTTAGATTTGGATGGAAAGAATTAGTATGACAAAAAAGTTCACGAGTTTGTGTAGTTCAAATTGGTGGCATACAGCATAGATGTTCATTATCGCATCTAATATTAGAACACTATAAATCAGGAAAGCCAAAGGATCTAATGGTAACAACATGGCATAAATGCTGATCTTATGTACCCAATAGTGTATCATCTCTAACCACAAACTTTTACTAAAAACTCAAAATTTAAATTTTTTTTGAATATATTTTTAAAAGTAGATCCCCATATTTAGTACGCAAAATATACTATTAACAAATATTTTTCTCGATGGATCAAATATATAGTGTGTTCTTATAGGCGCATTTTACACAATATACTTTTACATCTTTCATCTTCCATGTGATGGGGAAGTTTGTATTTCTTAAAACCCATATCAAAAATAGATTTATTAAGAGACATGCATTTCTACATATGGGGGCTTGGCCGCATAGAAACCGGGTCTTTTTATTAATATTAATTTTTTCAAAAAATTCCACAGGCTTCTTCCGAATAGGCCAAAGCATCGAATTGCTTAGTTTTTCCAACCAAACTTTCAAAGCCAATGTGACGACACTGGCTAGTATGGCATGGTTAACTAATGTATAACCTTTTGGTCAACACTAGAATAAACAATGGAAGCATTAGAAGTTGAATCAGTCGCGGATACATAAAAGAAGATATTGTCTCATTCAGTGTTCGCAAAATCGAACCGGAATGATTAACCAGACATGGGCCTGGAAGCAGTTTAACCGGTCTAATAGGTAAACAGGCTGATTCAACCGCTCTAATCAGGTAAGTCCTGAGAGGTCAAAAAAGTGTTGAAAAAAATAAAAAATATACAAAAAAATATACTAAAATATGAAAAACATATAAAGAATGATTAAAACAAAACACATTAAGTTGAAAATTAATAAAAAAAAAATTGGATTTTAATAAATCGATTTGTGCCTAGGAGTATTTTTAAAAGTTTTTGAAAAAGATGGAAAAATATAAAAGTGAGTATTAATGACCAAAACAATTTATAATCTTTACCATAATGTAAATAATACTAAAAAATACATTATAAATCAAATTCCTTATTTTTGAGAATTTATATACATTTGTTTTGAATTTTTTTTTTTAAATACCGGTTCATCACTAAAACGACCCAAAACTGGAACCGATCAATTTAACTGGACGGTTAACGATTAAATCTTTTGGTTTTACGAACATTGGTCTCCTCTATGAACTTCACAATCACGAGGTGCATGCTAGTTGTTTTTTCCATGAGCTATGGAGATGAATAATTTGTGGTTTCAATGAGTGGAAAAGTACCGATCCTATTTGGAATCGCCTTTTCTAATTAGGATTTAAAAGTTCGACTGAAAGGAGAGGTGGGTGGAACTGAACTCCCTTGTATACTTGAGTACTGTCTGCTTATACCATCATTATTTGTATATGATGCATGTTTCCTTCGCAACATAACATGCAAGGAAACGTGCGCCATATACAAATCAGACATGCAAGGAACCGTGCGCCACATACAAGTCACCCGACTGTGAAACGTCTCCGGTGGATAGCTGGGGTATGTCATCTCTCTGCTCAATACTTGCCAAAGATAGATATTGAGCGGAGGTACGACACATTTAGCCGTGCCTTTGTTTACATTTGAGGCTAGGCTAATATAAAAGGCACTCAGGATGCTCTCACCCCATTAGTTACTACTTATGGAGAGATTGGTTATCAAAACTGATTTGAACCGAACCAACTAGTCCTATTAGTCAGAATACGAAATAAGGGGTCTAAAATTAAAACTAGTTTTGGTTGGTCAGATCGGCGGGTTTTGATTGGAATGAGAAGTTTTTTTGTAATAATTTCATCTTTTAAAACTACAAGTCTTTAATTTTTATTTTTTAAAAATTCAGATCAATCAGCTTTAATTAAACCAAACCCTTCACTTATTTGGTGATAGGTATTTTAATTATATTTATATTCAAATAACATTTGAACCATCAATTACATTATTTTCAGATGGACTATCTATTTGCATCCATCTTAAATGTGTAAAGTGTGTTACACATAGCTCATACACATGGGATATAGTCACAGGAGATTACAAAGATTATGCGCCATTCTCTCTCTCTCTCTAAAATCACATTTTACATCATTCTCTCTCTTACATCACATTCTACACCACTCCCTCTCTCCCTCTTTCACAGTGTTCCAAAAATCAAACAGGCCAAGGCCGGGTCCAAGTAATAGGTAAAGCGGCCCAATCGGGCAGGTTCTGCTCAGTCTAAAAAGTATTAAAAAACAAGAAAACCAAAAAAATATAAAAATATGTTTAAATTTTCAAATTTTTTTAAAAATATGGAAAAATATAAAAATAAGTATTGATAAACAAAACACTTTTCAATTATTTGCCAAAAGAAAAAATTTAAAAAAAAACATATTACAAACAAATCCCTATTTTTTGGGATATATATATATATATATATATATATATATATAGTGTAA